TGGAGGTGAGTGTGGGTGTGTGCAGCTGTGCATCTGTGTGCATGCACAAAGATGTGTGTTTGGGGGGATGCAGGTAGGTGTGAGTGTCTGAATGGGGGGGCTGCATACCTGGGGTGGCAGCCACAAGGGAGCGTGGCTATCGCTCAGGGTGTGCCCGGCAAAGGAGCAAGGCTGGGGGATCCAGCCCCCAGCGAGCCAGGCAGGAACTAGTCCTGCAGCCACTGTGCCCTCCCGAGGGGTCTGAGCCACCCCGTGAGTGGCGGGAGGGCAGAGCGGCAAGGAGGACGCCAAGGCTGTGAGGGCCAGTGGTCTTCCGAGGTCCGTGTCAAGGTCGGCATGGGCCTGAGCTGCCCGGCTCCTGGGTGGGGGTCCCCTTCCTTAGACCATCTGCTCCACGTCCCCCGAGTCTGCTGAGTGACGGGCAGCAGCCTGGGCCCACTACGGGGAGCCCGGGCCCCCGGCCCTGCCCCTCTGAGGACTGAGGTCTAAAAGGAGCGCTCTGCACCCCCGATGGCCCCCTCAGCCTGCCCCTCTCACTGTGAAGAGCCGCCTCGCACAGACTGAGGCTCCCACCTGCCCTCCCACCAACCCCCCCCCCCACCTCCTCCTTCCACAGCAGGAAGCTAGGGCTGGAGGAAGCAGGGGGAGGTGGAGCACAGCCAGGGCCCTGGCAGAGGACGGCGGACAGACAGCCAGGGCAGGCCTCGCATCCCTCTCCCCGCCTGAGAAAGAGGGAGGCTCTTGCTCCCTGCCCCTCTGTACCACCCTCCCCACCCCAGGGTACCCCCTCCTTGCACTGTCCCCATGTGGACCCAGAAGGAGACTAAAAGTCTAGAAGTTAATCCCTGGCCAGGAGGAGAAAGCAGAGGCTGATGCTCCTAGTCAGAGGGTGGTGGGTAATGATGGGTGCAATCTCTCCAGCCACCCAGCCACCCCCGTCCCCATGTTACAGAAAGAAAAAGAGGGCTCAGGGAAGAGAAGCAAGGGGGCAGGGCCTCTAGCTGGCCTGGCCTATCATCGTGAAGAATTCCTGGTTGAGAGGGCTCCATGTCCGTCCTTCCCAGCTAGTCGGGCTACAGTGCCAGGGAAGGAGGTGTTCCAGAACATTCCTGCTGGCCTCCGAGGTCCTTGTGAGGACCAGAGCCGTGCTAGCTTAGGAGGGGTGATGCCCCCAACACATCCTTGTCCCAGTTTGCCCACGACTTCCCAGGTTTTAGCACTGACGGTCCCACATCCCTAGGAACCCTGTAGTCCCAGGCAAACCAGGACAGTTGGTCACTCTACTCCAATCAACAGGAGACATCGCCCAGTGGCTTCCATGTACTTTGGGGCCAGACCAGAGTCACAGAGGATGGGGAAGAGTCTCAGAGGCCACCAGCTTAACCTCTCTCCTCTGAGCTCGCTCCTACCAGCCTCTGCTTGCTTGAATGCCCCCAGCTCCCGGGAGCTCACCACCACATTAGGAACCTTACTTTGTTATGGAGCATCTCCACATGCGAGAATGTTCTTCTTACAGAAGGCTGACAGCTGCCTTCCTGTGGCTTCTCCCTCTCCCGTCCCCCGCCTTTCTCCCACTCCCGAGAACACCCAGAAGACACATGCCTCCTTCCAGGTCCTTGCCCTTCAGACACTTGAAAGCTGTGATCACACAGCCCGGGGCATCTTGGGCCTGTCTTCTCCAGTGAGTGATTTCCAGGCCTTCTCCCTTCATCCAGCCTGGGTGTGCTGCTGAGGGACAGACAGCAGCCCCTGGGGCCCATCTCATGGCCCCACTCCCACCATGCTGTCCCCGTCCCCTTCCCCTGCCTCGTGCCCTCCCAGGGCCCCCACTTCCAACCTGCCCATCTGCAAAATCCATTGGGCCCTGGCTGCACCCCCCTGCAATTTCACACACATTAATGGAGCACCTACTGTGTACCAGCCCCAGCTGGGGTTTAAGAGATGAGGGGAGGTCTGGGGGGCTGTGAGGCTGTCTCAGGGATGGGCACCTGAGCCATCTCCGGGCTCCAGGTCACTCTGAACCAGGTGAAGGGGGAAGAGAGGGCTCTAAAGAGGGGTGCAAATCCACAGCTTGGAGAGCAGGGCACCCTAAGTGCAGCGGGAGCCATTGGGAGCAGCAGGACCTGGTTTGTGGGAAGATGCTCGCTCTGGCCACCGCAGGTGATATTGGGAGGCAGGAATGAGGCAGGATAGTGGGGACCAGTGCTGTCATCCATCCGACCCTGTCCCCAGGGGCCCCCAGCCCCAGAGGCCCAGGCACCGGCAGGGTAGGCATGCAGCCCCTAGGGGAGGTGACAGGCCCATCCTCCCCCAGGCTTCACCCGCTGGCCTGTCACGTTCCTGCCTGAGATCTAGACTAAGGCAGCCTCTCCCTCCTGCCCTGCATCCGCCGTCACCTCCACACCGTAAACCTGTCTTGTAAAAGCCGGTGGAAGGCCTGGCTGTCAGCCACAAAAGCCTTCCCAGGCCTCTCTGGTCGCGCGTGGCTCCTGGAGAAAGCAGGAGGGGGCAGGAGGCTGGCATCCGCTGCTCGGTAAATCTATCAAAGACACTTTCTATCCCTTCCCGACATTCCTCGGTAAAAGCCACTCGGCTGCGTTTACAAATTACAGAACTCATTTGATGTCAGGGCCCTGGCTAATGGCCTGGGCAAATCCAGCAGGAACAGATGGGCCCCTCCCGCTCGGCTCCCGCCTGGCTGTGCCACCTTGAGTCACGGTGTCTCAGTGTCTCAGCCTCACCTCCTTGTCTGTAAGGTGGGGGTGCAGGTGGCTGTGTGGCTCGATGGTATCCCACGTGGGGGCCGGCTCAGAGCAGGTCCCTAGTAAAGGACGGTGGCGAGGATGTGCATGGAGGCCTGTGTGAGGCTGCAGCTTGGGGACAGGCGACGGGGGTCAGAACCCAAGCCCTGGGGTTTCTAGCCCCTGACTGTTATCTCTCTGCCAGGTAGGCCTCCTGCATCACTGGGCCTCTGTGGGTGAGGAGGCCTGGAAACAACCAGCCTTAAGCACAAAGGGGGATCCTCCTCCTCTTCTTCCTCCTCCCCTTCCTCCTCTTATACAGCAAGCTTTAGAACCTGTCCCCCTGTCCTCTCTGAGCCTTCCCACATCAAGACTGTTCTAGCCCTCAGAAGTGCATCTTAGAAGTTCAAGCACTCCGTGAACTGATTGGTTAAGCTTCCCTAGATCCTGGGTTAAGAAGGATTCTGAGGCTGCTTCCAGTTGATGAGTGATGTATGCCATTGGCCTTGGCCGGCGAGAGGTGGCCCCGAGTATGGCCCCGTGCTTTGCCATCCTTTCCCCTTCCAACCCCCGTAGCTGATAGTCAAGAAGGTGCATGGGGAGTTAAGAAAGGGGGTGATGTTCCCTGAGCACCCGCTGTGTGTTAACATGCCGGCCACCACGTCCATACGCTATCCCCTCCCGACAACCCCAACCGTTTGACAAAAGCTCTGAGGTTAGAGCAGTCACCCAGCAAGCTGTGGCTCCCAGGAGCCATCGCACCGGATTCCGGGGTGTCAAAGGACACAGGACAACCAAGGAGCAGATCCTTGGAGCGGAGGAGCCCGGATGTGCCGTGTGCGGATGGAATGGCACAGCAGGAGGCCATGGGCACCTCACAGAGCAGGGATGAATCGTCACGGGCGGGAAGCTTCCCCTGGCAGGAGTTTCTTATTTATCACTTGAGAGGTACAACAGAGCAAATTGTTAGTAGTTCTGGAAAAGCCAATCGTCCTCCAATTTGAGCCACGCCGGGAACTTTTCAGGGGGCTTTCATGTGTGCGACTTTGTCGGAGCTGCTGAGAGGCCCTGTGCAGGGCGTCGGTGGCTTGGCCTGCCCCAGCTCATCGAGGAGGGAGGGAGGTGATGGTAGGTGATGGGACCTACACCCCCAACTCGTGGTGCCACCGCATCAGGGACGTGTTCCCAAGCTTCTTAGCTTACCTTCTGGAGGAAGGGCATCGTGCCCCCGCCTTCCTCCTCCTCCCCATCCCTCTCACCCCGACTCTTATTGTGTCCAGGGCTTTCCATGCACCACCTCTAACCCTCACAAAAGCCACGTGCAGAGGGAGCTCTCATCAGCCCCACTGCACAGATGAGGAAACTGAGGCTCAGAGCAGTTGGGGCGTCAACGCCAGCACGGCGACTCCAAAGCCCTGTGCACCCACCAGCGTGGGGGGGGTGCGCTGAGAAGCAGGGCCGCCCGAGGATGGCACGCCACACCTGCTGCGGTCCATGCTTCAAAAAGGAAAGAAGAAAATGTGCTCTCTCGGCCCTAAGCCTGCTGCCTCCGCTGGCCCACCGCCCGTCTCAAGTCAAGGAAGGTCCTGTCGGGGCCAAATCCTGGCACAGGAACGTTCTCGGGACAGAGACAGTCACCAGCCGGAAGGGGGTGGGGGTTAGACATCTCCCTCCGGGGGTCCCCAAGTAAAGTCTGTGGGCAGGAGGACAAATAAGAGCATCACTACTCTGTCATCCTTTTGCTGCTGCCATGCTGAGTGTCAGCCCGGTTGCGCACAGCACACGGTGGGCCCCCCGGAGAGTCTGATGGACACGGGGTCCGATGACCCAATGGCCGAAGGAAGGAGGCAGCACCTGTCCCCTCTGCTCCCTCCTCTGGAATTGGGGATCACGACCACTCCCCCCCAAGGCTGCTGGGGAGCCCGTCCAAGCGCTTCCCGCAGACAGCACACCAAGTGCGCTCCATCAACAGGAGCTATTATTTCTGGGAAAGACCTTTACCCTCTCGGAGATCACAAGTTAATCGCCTCTCCCTCGTCAGCCTTCACCCCCCCCCACTCCTGGATGAACCACAGGTCAGCCCACAGCCCCAGAAACTCAATCACTGTCTGATAAAGTCCAGGGCTTTTGTGTAGTTGCATGCCTGCCCCTCCATGCACACACACATGCACACACACACGCACACACATCGGGAGCAGATGTTCTAGAAAATCGAGGTGGCCTGGATTTGAAAGGCTCTGCATGTATTTCTGAGTTTTGTCTCAGAAGATGAAGTGATTGGGCGTGACACAAATCAATATAAATATCAATGTCCGGGGGCCTTGCCAGCCTACGGTGTGAGGGAGGTGACAGTGGTGTCAGCCTCCTGCGTGACTGCAGCCGCTGTCCTTCCCCAGGAAGATCCGGGAAGCCGGCGAAGGGGAGGGGGTCCCCAGCATGCTCATGCCCGGTCCCCTCCTGTGGCCTCGTGAGGAAGGCGCTGGGGTGACCAGTCTGATCCCCTCCCGGGGCCGCCCCGGCTGGTTCTCTGCATCACGGAGACCCTCCGTTCTTTCTGGGCAGAAATGGGCCCAGGGATGCCTCTTGCTCCAGGTCTGGGCCGTACTGGGCCACCTGAAGCATCTCCCCATGGAGCTCCACATCCCCAGAGTCCTTTTCAGGGTGGCCCGCCACCTGCCCTGTGCCAGGCACAGGGGCCCAGCCATGCCCGCAGCCCTGCCCCGAAGGGAGCCTGCCCCACTGGGTCACCGCAGGAACCGGTTCCAGTTGTACCCAGGGCCCCAGTGGAGTCCTGGCACTAGAAGGGCCTCGAATAGGGACCTGGCCTCATCAGGCGGCATGGCATGGCTGAGACAGGTGAGTCCATGTGACGTGGAGGTGGAGGGAGGCAGAGAAACCACCTGGGCAAAGGCCTGGAAGTGGAAGAGAATAAGACAGAATCAAAAAGAAAGAAATGAAAGAAGAAGAAAGAAAAGAAAGAAAGAAAAGAAAGAAAGAAAGAAAGAAAGAAAGAAAGAAAGAAAGAAAGCCAGCCACATGCTGGGGTGCGGAGTCACTGCAGGCCCCATGCTGGGGGCAGGGGCTGAACCTCATCCCAGGTTCCTGGCTCCCCTCACCCCATCTCTGACCACCCACAACCACACGCGGGGTTTCTTTCACACACACGTTCCCCTTGCAGATCAACTCATGCCCATCCAACAGGTGCGGCAGGACCCGGAGTCCCCATTTAGAATGCACCTGGGACCTCCACATAACCCTGTCCTGGTTCCACTCCCTGACAGCCCCCACATACACAGAGCAGCCTCAGTCAGGAGCCAGCACCTATGGCTCCTACCTACCTACCTCAAAGCAACACTGCACAAATACACAGACACTGCTGTCACCAGCAACTTACTGGACTTGGCAGTGGACAAGGACAAGGTTGAGGGCAGTCATCAAGAGCTAAACCTTAGCACCTTGCATTTCACCCCAGAAAAGAGACAAGGCAGGCACTTGAGGCCCGCGGTTTTAGATCCACTCCAGCTCCTTCCGGAAGCCAAGCTCTCTGCAGCCTGTCCTGAGTCTCCATCACCACCTCCGCCAAGTAGGCTGCCCTCCTCTCTCCATGGCCCTGGTTGCCTGTGTCTGCATTTATTTTTTTTTATTTTTTTATTTTTCTTATGTCTGCATTTTTAAGTCTGAACCATGAACTTCATTGATCCTCAAGGGTCTGCAGACCTGGACTGAGACTGCCCCGCCCCACAGTCTGGGGGAGAGTCCCAGTGAACAATTCAAAATGAGCTCAAAGGCCATTACCCTCAATAAGCGGCCTAGCCTCTTGCTTCTCTAATTTGAGAGAGACGTAGAAAGACAAGGGGTGCGGTGGCAGTGAGGACGAAGAGATAGAGAGACGTGGAGCCAGAGGGGGAGATAAATGTGGAATCATGGCTCACCGCTTCTCTGTGTCCCTTACTAGGCATCCCGTCTGTCTTGCCCTGCCTAGCACCCAGAACACAGGGACCCAGAGCAGGGGCCAATGAATATTTTAAATGAAGGAAGGAGAAGGATCATAAAGCAGAGAAAGAAGAATGAGAAGAAAAGGCCAATAGCAGAGTAGCAGGTGGAGAGAATTGCTGGGTCCCTCTCTCCATCCCATCATGTCTGTATATTTTTTGTGACAGGAGAGGCTGACTATGTGGCAGGCCTGACCCTTCTACCCAGGACAGGAGGTGACTGTGGCAAAAGGGAAGCCAGACACTGAGCTCCTTGCTCACCCCTCCCCAGCCTCCCTGGCTAGCCCAGCGCCCACAACCACAGCCGCCCTCCACCAGGCCGGGGAGCCAGGCCAGGGCCCAGTCCTCTGGGCTCTACACCACCCATGTGCCGAGCAAACAAAGCGTCCACATGGGCATGTATGACTTATGGCTTTAATCTCTCTGATAGAAGGCCTTTAAAGATTATTTCAGGGATGAAAAAAAATAATCCTGGGTAATGAATCACGGCCTTAAGAAGCTGATAAGCAGGGAAACTGGCAAGGCCCGAGTTCCTGATTTAATTAAAGTCTCATGGAGACTCCCTGAAACAAAATCCATTGTAGCCATCAAGGTGATAAAAAGACTGCAGGTTACTTTAACTCACTTCCTCGTGAATCCTCTTCCCGGTGGAGGGGACCGATGAGGGGGCCGTGTCTTCGGGACTCAGGGCTGCATCCCTGCGGAGGACCCCGTGTCGGGCTGCAAGGGACCCCTGGGGAATAGGAGGTGGCTCATGGAGCCCAAGAGCTGGAGCAGATCGGAGCCTGGAGGACACAAGGTCGTAAGCTCAGAGAGGAGGACACTGTGTGTCCTTAGGTCCCTCGCTGGCCCTTTCTGGAACTCAGTTTCCAAACTATCACCCAGGGTGCAGGAGATGAGTCCAGCTGGTGTCTGAGAGGCACTTCGAGCTGCCCTGCAGGGTCCTAAGCCCCACATTTCCTGAGGAGGTGAGGAGAAATGGGTGATATCTCCACGGGGGAGGCCTTTTTCTCTGGACCCTGCCCACAGCGCCAGCCTCCCCCAGCCTGGTCCCCCTCCCTCTCCCCGTCCCTCCTGGTCCCACTCCCACACACAATTACCTGGTAAAAGTGTAGTTGCCAACACTCTTGGGGACACACTCTTGGGAACACACTCTTGGGACACACTACTGGTCCAGTGAGGGGGCGAGTGGAGCGTATGGGTCCAGCCCGAATACGCCATGGAGGGCAGGGCCCCCAAAGCAGGCAAGAGCCGTGGAGTCTTCCCAGCTCTGCTTCTAGGCTCTGTGAAGGCTCCAGAGAGAAGCCAAGTGGACTTGGAAGGACAGGATAGAGCCCGTGAGAACGTGACAACAGTGGCCAGTGGTCTGTACACCCTCGGGGTGAAAGACAGCTGCGCGGGTGAGTGCATGGCTGGATGGGTGGATAGACAGGTAGGGGACGGATGAGCCAATGGCTGCATGGACAGATGGACAGCATCCAGGGGAGGTGACTGTGAGCCGAAGCTGGGTCTCATGCCCTGGTGCCAGCTCCTCGTCTGAAGCCCTCAGCCCTGGCAGCCTGGGCCAGTGCCCTGCACTCGGTGCAGACGTGTGAGGGAGTGGCCATGTCACCCATCAGGGCCAATGCCGCAGTGTCAGGGGTGCTGGAGAAATTTGAATTTTAGATTAATTATGAATAATGTTTAGCAAAACTTTGTCCCAAAGACTGTATTTAGTTACTCCATAGCGCAACCCTCCACGGAGTGGTCCCTGGGCCCTGTGCCTGGCAAAGGCCTGCTCCAGAGACAGGCGCCCCCACAGGCTGGGCCCCAAGGCCCCGGGAGCCCCTGACTAGTGAGTGTCTAAGGAGAGAAGATTTCAGAGAGAAACTGCAGGCTGAGATGTGGCGGTGCCAAGGCCGGCACCCCAGAAAGTCCTCGGGGCCCAGGTCGGGGCTGCAGGTGGGGCTGCCGGGGGCTGGCTGCCACCTAGCGGCCAGTGTCAGGACGGCAGGCTGCGGCGCCCCGGAAGATGGGCGGGTAAGTGGCCCCCCAAAACAGCCTCCTTGTGCATGGTTAGGGCCCTCATGCACTTGGCAGGAAAGGAAACTGAAGTGTCAGGTCACCTAAACCCATACCCGGACCCTAGCATGGGCGTAGCCGGGTCTCCACCTCCAGGCACCCCCTGTCCTGTTCACAGCTACTGCGTGGGTCCCCAAGGCCCGCCCCGTCACATGCATCTCCCGCCCATCAGCCTTCATCAGTAGCCCCCTGTTTTCGAGGCCATAAAGCGAGGCCTCTCTGCGCTGATGTTCAGAGCCTCCTCAACCAGCCCGAACTTCATTTCCCTGACTTTTTCTCACCTTCTAAAATCCCGTGTTCCCTCTGGAAACTTCCCAGCCCTCCTCTGGCTCCTTCTCGCCAGGCTCCTCATCTCTGAGGCTGCTGTGCCCCCCTCCTTCGTCTGCCCTGAGGCTGTTTCCGGTCTCCAGGCGCTGGGCCCTGACCTCCCAAAGCCGCAGAGGGGCCCCTCGTGCCCTTAATAAGCTCATCTATCCCATACCTGCGAGTTCCATCCACCAGCAACTCCAACATGCATTCCCGGGGCCCAAGCCTCTCCCCTGAACTCCAGACTCACACTGTGCACTGTCCACCTCCTGGGAGTCCTCCCCCGGGACCCCAACAGGCCGCTCACACTGAAATGATCAGCACTCCAGGCCTCCCTCCGAAACCCGCTCACCCTCAGCCTTTCCTGTCCCAGTGGCACCTCTGCCTCTCTAATTAGGCCAATCTCTTTTGCATACGCCCCACATCCACTCACCCACTCCATGTTGTTGGCGCTGCTTCCAGTATCCAGGGAAGTCTGACCACTTCTCACCAGAGGCAGGGGCTGGATTGAAGGTATTCCCAGGCCCACCCACACAGAGGAGGGATCTGGGGTTGCCACAAGATGCCCAGGGAGTAAGGGAGCACTTTTCAAGGGGCCTGGGGGTTCCCCCAGGGGTCGCAGGCTGACCTACAGGTGCTATGTGGGGTCAGGCAAGACTCCCTGGAGGAGGGGACGGGAGAGGGTAGAGGGAGTGGCAGGAGCAGAGCTGGCAAGTTTCGAGCAGGGCCTGCATCTCCCTGGCGTGCACAGCACCCGCCCTCAGGGTGGGCTCAGGTACTCGGTGTGGAAAGATGGTTGGATTGAGTCGGGTTTGACTCTCAGAGGTGGAGGGAGGTGGGAAGGACAGATGTGGCCAGATGGCTGAAGTGCGTACCTAATTCAGGGTGTGGGTAGCAGTTGGGGATGGGGGCAGTGATGCCCTTGTCACTACCTCTGTCTAGCATGGTGTGGCTGCACCCACGGGGCACACATGAAGAGAAAACTCTCTCCCCAGCAGGCCCAGCAGATCCCAAGAACCCAGGCTCCCAGTCTGGGGCAGAGAGGGTGTTACCAGGGGCCGGGAGCAGTGGGGGAGACAGTAGTTCTTGCCGTGGTGCCTCCCAGGGAGGAACAGATGATGGACCAAGGCAGAGGGTAGGCTCCAGGATGGGGGTTCCAACAGGCGACATGAGGTCTCAGAAGCACTGGCCTCAGAGATAGGGGTGCCTGGGATTCCATCCTGCCTCTGCGCCCCTCAGGGCCTCATGGCCCCACCTGCCAACCGGATAGACAATCCTCTTTCCACCAAAGCCATGGGTGGATGGGGGTGACAGTGGCAGACACAGCCCTGGGCATGAATGCCAGGCCATCTTGAGGGGGCTCTTGATGAGACTAGGGATGAAGCCAAGACTTACTTGAGGTCCCTGCCTTCCTTCTACAGGAAGGATCAAGAAGGACAGGGAGCCCTCCTATTGTCTGGCCTCCTCCCCGGAATCCACAATGACCCCTTTGTCTCTCACCTGCCCAGCCCAGGCCTGCCCGACCCAGGCAAGAGCTGGTTGTGTTTCTCCACCTACACGAACTCAGGAGGAGGCTGGCTCTGGACTCCTGAGGCCTTCCCAGGTGTCCGCTCCTGAAGGAACTCCAAGGAACCCATTGGTGCTGGTTGTGCTCAGCAGAAGGAAGACCGAGGACATCTTTCCCATCATCGAAGATGTAAGAGGGCACTAGGACTGGAGCCTGGTCTGTTCCTGGTCCTTGTCTCTAGGGGAGGAAGTGGGAGCGCCCCCAGGTCTTGCGGATGAGCGTGAAGAGGTGCCTAGGGTAGCCCAGAGCCTACGACTTCCCCCTGGACATGTGGCTTAGCCCAGGCTAGCCCAGAATTAGCGCCCAGGTCAGCCCAGTGCCACACAGGAACCCAGAACTCACACACACAGTAGTTCAGAGACACATGACACCCTAGAACATTTGGGTTAGTTTGGAACACCTGTCAGCCCCAGGCTGGCCCAGGACTCAGAGGTCAGTTCAGAGCACACAAGTGAGGCCAGGTTAGCCTCTGACACATAGGTTTCCTTGGGACATCCAGGATGGATGACAACAAATAAATTGGTCCAGAAGAATAGTTTTTCAGGGGCGCCTGGGTGGCTCAGTCAGCTAAGCGGCTGCCTTCGGTTCAGCTCATGATCCCAGGGTCCTGGGATCCAGCCCCACATCAGGCTCCCCGCTCAGCAGAGAATCTGCTTCACCCTCTGTTCCCCCACCACCCCGCCCCATTCATGCTCTCTCTTTCTCAAATAAATAAATAAATAATTAAATTAAATTCTCTTTTTTAAAAAAGAATTTTTCAAAACTTTTTAAAGCAGTAGAATTCCTCTTCAATAAAATCTCGCCCAGAGCCCAAAGTATAAAACGAACAAAGCAGAGCTGCTGTGGTTGGGGTTGGAGGCGTGGGGGGTGGGGGGCGTGCAGTGGCATGCTGGGAAACGTGCAACCCTCGGAGGCCAGGGAATAGCTCTGCCTTGGAGCATTTGGCGATTTCCATGATGCAAATCCTCCCACCACCACCTCTGCAGGTACCAGCTGCCTGTAATTACCTCCACGAGCCTATGAGCCAGCGCCAGCACCCAGACCTACCTAGGGGACCTCCTGGGCTCTTCTGGGGACACCCCAGGACTCGGAGGATCTCAATGCCGGGGAGCCCGGGTCCAAGACACAGAGGTTGGCCCAAGCCTGGGGTGGACTATGCAATTTCAGGCTTTCGAAGCCTGAGGGGAAGCCAGAAAAATGTTTCCCAATCCCTGGCAAGCATGGGGCAAGTGGGAAGTGAGGTCAGTGGGGGAGACCTGGCCTCAAGAATTGCCCACGTGGAATGTGAACTGGTGCAGCCACTCTGGAAAACTGTGTGGAGGTTCCTCAAAGAGTTAAAAAGAGACCTGCCCTACGACCCAGCAATTGCACTGCTGGAGATTTACCGCAAAGATACAGATGCAGTGAAACGCCGGGACACCTGCACCCCGATGTTTCTAGCAGCCATGTCCACAATAGCCAAACTGTGGAAGGAGCCTCGGTGTCCATCGAAAGATGAATGGAATAGAGAAGATGTGGTCTATGTATACAATGGAATATTCCTCAACCAACAGAAACAACAAATACCCACCATTTGCTTCGATGTGGATGGACCTGGAGGGTATTATGGTGAGTGAAGCAAGTCATTTGGAGAAGGACAAACATTATATGGTCTCATTCATTCGGGGAATATAAAAAATAGTGAAAGGGGGTTTTAGGGGAAAGGAGAGAAAATGAGTGGGAAATACCAGTGAGGGTGACAAAACATGAGAGACTCCTAACTCTGGGAAACGATCAAGGGGTGGTGGAAAGGGAGGTGGGCGGAGGACAGGGTGCCTGGGTGATGGGCACTGAGGGAGGCACTCGACGGGATGAGCACTGGGTGATATGCTATATGTTGGCAAATCGATTCCAATAAAAAAAATATACAAAAAAGAAAAAGAAAGAACTGCCCACGTGACTTTGACCAAGTTCTTTCTGGCTTCTGGGTCTCAGTCTCCCCATCTGTGCAAATGAGAGACATGAGGGCCACGGGGCCCTCCTCTGGTCTCTGGAAATCAGCTGAGCTTGCCTTTGTCACTTGCTGCCTCTGCCTCCTTCCCAGGCCCGGCACCTCATCCCAGCAGTGCCCCGGGCACTGGGTCACTCTCCCTCCACCCCTTGCACACCTGTCCTCAGCCAGCTGGCATCCATGGGAGTGTGTGGAGCTGGACACAGGGCATGCGTCCTCCTTTGTCAGAAGTGAGTCCTACATGTGCCTGCAGCAGCCCCACAAGCCTGGCCTGATCGATCATCTGAAGGAGCGACAGAAGTGTGGCTCCTCACAAGCAGCTCAGAGCACTGAGAGAGCCAATCTAGACTTTTCTTTTTCGATTGAAAATAAGAAAGCACCTGGTTCACAATGGCAGGTCAGCACTAGACCTGGGTCTGTCCCCAAGATGAATGTTCTCTTCCCCATCAGCACCTTGGTGGCCTCACCTGCTCCCCACCCTCAGGGCCTCCAGGAGGGGTTGTTAATAAGGATGCCAGGTCCCTAGGTGTAAGTGGGGACTGTCCCAGGCAAAGGGCCATGCCTCAACACTACCTTGGGAAAGCTCCCGGAAGAGTTGGTTGTGAACCAGCACGGTGTGAGGTGCAAGGGCACCTGTAACAAAGAGAAGACACCATCCTGCCCCAGAGGTGCACACTGGTGCCAAGAGGCCCCCACCCCCTGCACACGTTTCCTGTACCCATCACGCTGTGCTCTCTGTGCGGACCAAATACGGAGATGTCAACCAAGCAGCAGGAAGGCGCTGATTTTCTAGAGGAAGGGGTTTGATTTAGGTATTGGGCAGCATGCCTGCTGAGGTGGAGAGGAGGAGGGAGATCCCAGCCGGCAGAGGGCCCCCCACATACGAACACTCAGTGGTGGGAACCTGCACCCCAGCCGTCAAGGAGGCAAAGCAAGGGGTTTGTGAGAACGGGAAAGTGAATGATGAAGCTAGAGAAGCACATAGCCTATACACATACCCACGGATGAATCAAATCCAGAATATTAAAAAAAAAACAAAACCTCCAAATCAGGGGGGAAAAACCAACAACCAGCCCAATAAAACTTGACGTGAACAGGCGCTGTTCAGTGAACACATGTCCAGCTGTCCAGCGAGCACGTGGGAAGTTCCCAACCCCATCACTCCTTGGGGAAATACAAGTTAAAACCACAATGAGATCCCATTACACTCCCACCACGATGGCTGAAGTTAAAAAGGAATCTGGCTCCCGGAGTCGACGAGAACGTGCAGCTACCAGAACTCTCTCGCACGCCGCCAGCGGGAATGTTAAGAACCACTTGGGAGGGATCCCTGGGTGGCGCAGCGGTTTGGCGCCTGCCTTTGGCCCAGGGCGCGATCCTGGAGACCCGGGATCGAATCCCACGTCGGGCTCCCAGCATGGAGCCTGCTTCTCTCCTTTCTCTGCCTGTGTCTCTGCTCTCTCTCTCTCTCTCTCTCTCTGTGACTATCATAAAAAAAAAAAAAGAACCACTTGGGAAACTGCTTGGCGGGATTGACGGAAACTAAAACACACGCCCGTGTCCTGACCTGGTGGTGCCACTCACAAGCATTCGCCCAAGAGAAATGAAAGTGGGTGACCATCGAAGGTGGTGGTGACACAAGCAGTCATCGCAGCTTCTACCATGAGAGCCCAGAGCTGAGGGCCACTCTAATGCCCATCGGCCATGGGGCAGATGAGTAAGTGGGGGCACCCAACCTTCAACGAAATACTACACAGCGATGAAGAACAACCAGTTGTGATGTACGTAGGTGTGGGGTGGATCTCAGACATAATGTGGAATGGAAGGAGGACAGAGAAACTAATTTGGGGGATAGA